GCCGCCGAGCGCGGAAGCGCTTTGCTCAGCGCAGGGGCGAGTGAGCTAGCATCCAGGGCAGGTGGATTTCCCCCAGGTCAGTACCTCTCCATAAGAAAGCAGCACTCTGGGTTTGGAATGCCAGCTACCACTCATCTGTTCTGAAAAACTGATTGTGTCTTCATCCCACCCTCTTTTCATCTGTGTGTGTGTTAGGAGACACATTTTTGCTGAGCAAAGAGAAAGAAATTGACCTGATAAGAGTTTATACTTTGTTAATCGGTTACTGTGTGACTGAGCAAAGGACTTGTGTACCCACGGGGCAGAAAGCCAAACTCTGACAGCAGGTGTTTGCAGCAAAGGAAGGATTTGTTACAGGCTGCCAAGCAAGCCAGTGGGAGAGAAGCCGCAGATCCACTCCAGCTTGGTCTCTCATTAGGGGTTTGTTTGTTTGTTTGTTTATGGAGAACAACAAAGAAGTTGGGGTTACTCATCCTCTTGTGACACATCTTAATTGGCTCTAGTTTACGCCTCTCAGGCCAGGTGATCCATGGCTCTAGGGTTCATCAGCTCATCAGCGAGGATGCACGTTAACAGTGATGTCTGTAATAGCAATTTTAGTGCAAAAATGATGTAATCGACAACAGCAATTTTAGTTGTCTGACTCTGGTTAGTGTTCGCTTAGCACAGGATTGAAGTCCGAAGGGACCAGAAAGGGCATAAAGTTTTGGACAGAGATGAATCTTAAACTCAGTAAGGGAACTGTTGCCAAAAAAAACTGGCCTCTGTACCCCAATGGCCAAATTGAGACTTGGAGGCAGAGTTTTGGGAAAATGAGAAAAGAGCAGCTTTATTGCTTTGCCAGGCAAAGGAAAGTCACAGGCTAAAGACCGTGAATCCCTCTTGGGGTTGGTGTCCTGAGGTTTTATAGAAAAACTGGATGGAGCAGAAAGGCAGCAGCAATCGGTGTTTTCTAGGCTGCTGCTTGCTTCTTGATGAATCCAGTTGGCATCACGGAGAAACCCTGGAGGGTCTGTTCATTCTTTGAGGCTATCAGCCCATGATCACCTTTCTGGAATACAGCTCCTGGGTTAAATGATAGCTCTTCCCGATAAAGAATGCATAGGGAGTGGAGAGTGTAAAAAGCTCTTCAGCAAGTGAAGCAGAGATGGGGGGGTTGTCAGATAAAAGAGAAAAACTGGTTGCAAGAATTTTACATCCGAATGAATCAGCAAACAGCTTGAGCATCAGAGAAGCTATTTTGTTAGTCTCCTGCTCGCTCTTTCAGGACTTGGTTTTAGGGAGACTCAGTTTTCAACTGCAGAGATTGTTTCTGGACTTTGGGACACAAATGCCTGAATTCTTTCTGTGCACTTTACCCCCTGGTCTCAGTATCCAGGTTTTGTTTGGGGGGTGGGACAGGCACATTGTGCTCAGAGACCAAGATTGTCTTTGCCAATATTTCGTTTAACACTAATTCACCATGGGAATTATCATAATTTCAGAAGCTAGTAGCACACAGGAGAATGTCTCTTAATAAGCCAGTGAAGAAATCATATCCCCCAAACAGATGATAGATACTACTGTTCCAGGCAAGGGGTGATGACAAACATAAAGTCCAAAGCTGATGCAGGAGAACAGACGTGGGGCATGAGAAGGACCATGTCCCTGGGACGTGCCCCGCCAAGTGTGGATCCTTGGCTTCGCGCAGGAAAGAAATCAGGTGCAAGCCACAGTTGAGTAAAGGTAGATGTTTTCAGAGAGATACATTGAAAGGCAAGAGGACAGCCATGAGCTGTGGGGATTGGGTGCTGAGATTAAAAGTAGGTACACACTCCATAAACAGGAGAGAGGGGGTCGGCTGCCAGGCGAGTTTTTATGGGCTTGGTGGCTTCATATGCTAATAAGTGGAAGGACCAGTCTAAGTAGCCTCGGGAAGGAGCTGGGATTCCCAGGAAGTTGGCCATTTCCCACCCTTTGACCTTTCGTGGCTACCCTTGGCACTGTCATGGCGCCTTTGGGCATGTTATTCACCATGTTAATATATTACCGCAGGCGTATAAATGAAGCTCAAAATCTACTGTAAGTTAAATCTCTCGTTATCTTGAGTCTCAAGGCCTATTGGGGTTGAATCTTTAATAGTTTTGATGCTAATTGCTGTGGCATTCTTTGAGTGGCTGTGCCGTGCCCCCTTCCATCCTGTCTCAAAGCCAGTTGAGATGTGCCTTTTCTAGGAGAAATGCACGGCCACCCCCTCCCCCTCTCACAGTTCTTCCGTGCCAGGGGCAGAGTCACAGGGCCCTCCAGCTTCTGAGTGCTTTTACCTGTTTCATTGTAATTGCTACAAATGCCATGCCAGATTGTAGCTGCTGCTGCTGTTTTAATTTAAAAATGACCGCATTTGGCTTCTGTATTGATTACTTATCTAGGGACTGCTTTGGAAAGCACTCACCAGGTCGCTGGGCGAGCAGAGGGAGGATGTTTCTGGAGAGATGGAGTGTGTTGGTGCGGAGGGTGGGAGGGTGGGAAACCAGCTCCCCTTTACAGTCCCCTGCAGGCTCTCCACCTCCAGGCACTGCCCCTGCACTTGGGCAGGACAGTGATGAGGGCCAGCCAGAAGGACTTTGAGAGCGCACTGCGTCAGGTGAAACTCTGGAAGAAGGACCCGGGAAACGAAGTGAAGCTGAAACTCTACGCGCTGTATAAGCAGGTGAGAGAGGTTCTGAGCAGGTGGTTCCTCAGATCGATATGCTGTATGTTTTCCTAGAATGCAGCCTGAATGTTTCTAGGGTTTGTGTTGCTGCCTTTCCTCTAGAGAGTTTCTCACAATAGACCTCAAAATACTGTTGAGGCGAAAAGCAGCCCCTCGGGATCACTTTAGAGTAAAAGAGACTGGAAAGTGTAACAACCACGTATCTAGACCTTCTTTGACCCCCAGCTCAGGAGCCCCCTCAATCCTGCACTTGGTATCAGAAGTGGGGGGCAGTTTGACGGCCAGTGTTGCCTCTAATTTTCAGCTGGTTAACTCTTGCAGGGTGACTCTTAACCTCTTTTTCATTGGAGAGTCTTAGACTCCTGTGCTGCCTTTGGCTTTCAAAGCCTCTTTCCTCTTAGCTAATTATGTCATGAAATTTAAATGTTTAAAATGTGATTATTAAACGGAGTGGTAAGTTGCCCTTTCTGACGAGTAATTGAGTACCTGTTTTATTCATCTCAAAACACTCACTCCCCTACCCTCAAACATGTAAAATTTAGTTGCTTTTTGTTTTCTGTGCACGTGGCCTTCAGTTAGGTTTCCTAAGGGCCAGTGGCTCTGAGGGCTCCCCTCATGCTCCCCCAGCTACAGCTCTGTTGCTGAGTTACCAGAGATCTAGCACGAAATTAGTGGGGGATTTGCAGTACCTTTGAACAGGCTTTAAGAATATACTGTGTTTTGTACACATTTGTTGGCCAGTTACCTTTGAAGATCGTTTGCTTGAATATTTCAATTGTGCATGAAGACTGTGGTTGTCAGTGTAGGACTAATGAACTATTGGGATTCTTTTTTAAATACTTTCCCTGAACCCTTATCCTGCATTGCTTTCACATGCAGGCAGTTATAATTTACTTTAGGGACTGATAGCCTGTTGCGTGTTTTGTCTCTCTAGTCTTTTTTTCCTGTTGTTTGTACATTTTTAGCAAGAGCATCAAAGAGGCCAAAGGAGGGGGGGACCCAGGTTGGCTTATGTGCCTTGTGAGACTGCTCAGGAGGGGACGGTGGACTCACACTCATGTGTGCTTCCTGGGTCGTAAATATGCAAGGCTCCAGTTTGCGTGGGGGGTTGACCAATAGTTGCCCCTCCTCTTTTCTCAGGCCACCGAGGGACCGTGCAATTTGCCCAAACCAGGTATGATGGACTTGGTCAATAAGGCCAAATGGGACGCGTGGAGTGCTCTTGGCAGTCTGCCCAAGGTGCGTTCACGGGTGACTCTGCTTTTATTTTACTCGCTGTGCTCCTGGGGGAGGTCGGGTCCGTCTGATGACTAAGCTGTCACACGCACGCCTTCTAGATCTGGACGCCCCTCTGCTGCACCAGAACCTCTCTCCTCTCTTCATCGCAGCTGGCTCCTTGTTAGCACACTGAGTTTCTCAGCCTGCTGCTTCGTTGACCAGGGGCTGAAACAAGTTGTTGTGTCTCCCCAGGAAACTGCCAGGGAGAACTACGTGGATTTGGTGTCCAGCCTGAGCGCTGCATCCGAGCCCCCCAGCCCGGCGAAGCCTGCAGCGGACGGGGAACAAGCGGGAGGTGACCTGGTGGTGACCTCTGAGAACCACATCACAACGATCACGTTCAACCGGCCTGCCAAAAAAAATGCAATCACCACTCAGGTAGCATCACCTGCCCGGGGTTTCATCCCGCTGCTCCTTCCCTCCTCTCTCCAGCTCACTCAAAGCCTGTGCTGCTACATTCCTGTTTTTGTGACACCTCTTGTTTGGTTCATTCAGGAAGATCAGTAATTGTGGCTGCTTCGTACAGCCGGGTTGGGCATTCGTTATTTAAACTTGTGAGTTTCAAGGAGGTTTGATGTGTCCAGAAGGCACTGCAACTTTTCTAATGATGGAAGCACAGATAAAGGGCTTAAATATAAATGAGACCCACGTTGCTGTTACAGAGTATACACAGAGGGCCTCTAATGTCGGCACCGACTCCCCGGGAGTATCTTCATGTCACCTGGGCTTGAGGGTGAGCACTGGTCTGCTCACATGGAGCCGTATCTTGTGCATATGGAAGGAAGAAGCAGAGGACCGAAATGGATCATAACCCAGCTCTGCCTGAGGGGGCCGCTTCCCACAGGCAGCAGGAGTCTGCAAATCTGTCCTTGAACTAGAACGAATGACAATAAAAACAGCCACTCCAGCAACCTAAGTGTCCATCGGTGGATGACTAGACAAAGAACATGTGATACGCACACAGGTTTACACACGTATTCATGCACACAAAGTGGAATACTATTCAGCCATAAAAAGGAATGAAATATTGCCATTGGTGACAACATGGATGAACCTTGAGGGCATTGCTGCCTTTAAGTGAACTCAGAAAAGACAAACACCATATGATCTCACTTAAAAATATGGAGAACAACAGATGGGTGGTTGGCAGAGGTGGGGCGGGGGCAAAATGTACAAACTTCCAATTATAAAATAAATCAGTCCTAGACAGCATGGCAACTAGAGTTAGTAATACCGTGTTGCCTGCTTGAAAAGTGCTAAGAGAATCAATCTTATAACTTCTTACCACAAGAAAAAAATTGTAGCTGTGTGGTGACAGGTGTTAATTTGACTTACTGTCATCATTTCACAGTGCATACAATTACCAAATCATGCTGTCCACCTGAAACAAATGTTAAATGTCTATACCTCATATTTTTTTAATGACTCACAGTTTAAAAAAAAATAGCCACTTCAATTCTTTCCCCTTGAAGGGAAAATAATAGGGAATTAATTGGGTGCTTGGTACTGAATTGGGGGGTCAGTGTCAAGAGTGCTGAACCTCCTTTCTCTGGGTTTATCATCTCTATTGTGGTAGGAAAAGCATGCTAACTTTTGTCTTAAGTAAGAATTCCATGAAGTTGGCTGTGTGCTGTTCAGTTAACAAAGTGTTTGTTTCCTTTCCTCCTGACTCACTTCTATGTGATGGTGATGGTAACAGTAACAAGTTCGCTTCGCCGAGTGCCTCGGGTGTGTCAGTACTTTCTAGACAGGGGTCTCTTTAATCCCCGCAAGGAGTCACTGTTACTACTACTTAACAAGAGAATGACTAGGTTGAGCACTGACTCGCTCCAGTTCACGTAACCAGTACACAGGAAGACCCGAGTCGGAGCCCTGATCTCTCCCGTCTCCGCATCCTGGCTCTTAAACTGTCACCCCGTCCTGCGGTGTCGTTGTAACTTTAGTAATAGTGGAATTAGCTCCTTGCTCCCTCCCTCAGTGGAAATGACTTCCCCTTTGCTCATACATTATTTTTTCAATCAAGAACGTGTTATCTGTAAATGCCAGCCTTCCATCACCCTCTCCCGCACTGAAGTCTCACCTAAGGTAGAAGCTGCCTCTATTTTAAATGCATTAAAAGCTATACCAGCTGCACATCCAGGATTTTCAGAGACATTGCTGATTTAAAATACTGGGTCCACTGTTCTTGACAGAATCCGGCCTCTGACTCTCATTAACACTCCCAGACTGCCTGCCACACGCCTGCTGTCTCTCGACGTCCCAGGTGGAAGACTGCTCTGGAGAAATCTTTCTCTGGGCACCCCGCATCCTACCCTCCCAGGAAAGGACCAGTGCCTCCTCTGAGCGTTCTGCTGCTTTATGCTTTATACCCGTTTTAGAGCTACCCACCTCTGTTCATTCCAGAAGCTCAGGGACTGTGTCTTGTTTGTTCACGTTTGGGGAAAAGTGGACGTGTTCCCCAGCGTCTGGTATTCCGCACTTGGTGCATCACACACGCCAGGTGACTGGGGGAGCACTGGAAGTCTTTGCGGGGTCTTGGGCTGCCCTTTGGGTTCTGTAAATACAGCCAGTGTGTTTAGCGCTTTACAGAAAGTGGGCTTCATCTGGGATCCACCGGATGATGGTCATTGTTTTCAGAGTTTTTTCTTTCCCTCCCCCTCCCCCTGTCACTTAGATGTATCGAGATATCATGCTTGCCCTTCAGGCTGCCAGCAAGGACGACTCGGTCCTGACTGTGCTAACAGGTAAGATCTGTTCTTGGATTTCTTAATTAAATCTCTATTTGGGGGCTTTTCCCACGAGCAGATAAGTTCTCAGATCTTTTCCAGTACTGAGACACTCTGATTCTTAAGTACGTAAAAAACACGACAGAGGATTGATATCTTTATCATGTAAAAAGCAGGTGCAAATTGCTAAGGAAAGTACTGAGACCTACTAGATGAATTGGTGAAATGAATAGGCAGTTTATATGAGAAAGTCCAGGAAAACGCAACCAGATTAATAACCACAAACAAATCAAAATGATGAGATACCATTTGATGCTTTTCTGAATTAGCAAAGTTTCAAGTTATAGCCACCTCTGACAAAATGATGGTAGAACTGATGCCTCTTAATACCTCACTACTAACATTATGCCTCTGAATCACGTCTTACCGGCTGTGTCTCGTACAGCACATGGCTGGGTCTCACCCCTGTGGTCCAGTCTGAGTTTTCTTGTAGAGGAGCGTGTACCTGCCTGGACTCACGTACGTGACAGCTGCGGCACATCGTAGTTCGAGCGTCTTATGTGCTTTCTGTTTGTAGTGCTTCCTTTGATTGTTATTTTTCACTTCATGGTCTGTGTTTTTCTTGTTTCGGTTTGTGTGTTTTATTTCTCATGGTTTGGAAGTGGTTTTTTTTAACTGCTTTTAGTAATTACTTTTATAGGCCTATGTGGTACCCATCAGCATTGGTTGTACGCTACTCCCTTTGCACTGTAGTTGCCCCTGTGAAAGGCAAGGAAGTTAGTGTGAATTCCACCTCAAACCTCTCTTCCAAGTTTAGAGTCTATTAAATAGAGCTCCGTTGTCTTCTAGCATCAGATGTTGCTGGCGAGCAGTTCGAGGCTACCGTTAATTTTGTTTTTAGCGCCCTCATAAGGTCATTTTTCCCCCCGGAAGACCATGGGGTACTTTTCCTTTCTTTATCACTTTTTCCTAGGAAATAATATATCCTTTTTAAACAGATTACGAAGGCATTGTTGGAAGTTTTCTTTGATAATATCTCTGAATATTTTTGTTTCAGTTGATCTCTTTGAAGAATTCTGGTTTTGAAAAAGAAACGTCTGGTCTGCTGGGACCATTACCTGTTGTTTTCTCTGACTTCTTAACTCTTCTGTTTTTCGTGTGTTTTGCTCAGTTCTCTCGAGTCCCTGGTTGCCTTCTCAGCACTGCCCCTTCCCCTTTCCACCGCTCCTGGTAGCGCCGTTTCTTTAGTGGTTGCGGTTTCTGCTCGCATTGTTTCCTGAACCCTGCCAGGTCACTCTGTCACCCATCGCTTCTGTTTTGAGCCGCTTTCACAGGACAGCTCAGCCTTAGCTTGGAGAAGTCTCATTGTTCATGAAATTCCTGGAAGTACTGTTTATGCCACTGTTCTCATCTGGCAGAAGCACAGGGAAAACCTTAAGGAAGAGACTTATCATGTACAAATCCTAGCTCAGTCGTGCGCAGCTCGTTGTTCCTCAGCGCCCCAGATACAGCTATCTCGAGCCAGACCACAAGCACGTGCTCAGGGTTTTTCCTTTGAAACTTGCCCTTGGGCCCATTCCGGTGTGTTCCTCTGCCCTTTGCGTGGGTTCCCACTGAGCTTTGTATCATCAGACCAGGGACACGTGCCAGGCCTCGCCTGCCTCTCCCTCCTTGGTGAACCTTGCTCTCCCGGGGCACCAGCGTGTCTCCCCCACGGTCCCCCTCCTCCGCCCTTGTTCTCCTGACTCTGGCCGCCCTCTCTGACCTCCTCTGCAGACTCTTCCTCCGTGTGGCCAACCAGTAGGTGAGTTCCTGAAGGCTCAGCCCTGGGCAGTCTTCTGTCCTCACTCAGTGCTCTCGCTGGCCCCCTCTCATCCACGCCCACCCTCCCCCAAAAGCCCGCAGGCCAGTGATTCCCTCGTCTGCATCTCCAGTGCGGGACCCTCCACGGGGCTCCTGGCTAGTCCCCCACCTGGCACGCCCTCCTGGTGTCTCCTCCTCCATCTCTCTCTCTCGACTCTCTTCAGTTTCCATGTCACGGTGGTTGCTCCATATCTACCCTGCTGTGGAGACCAGAATGCTAACATTCAGTATTGACGCCTGTCCTTCCCTCACCTCCCATGTCCCCTTCAGTCCCATTCACCTCACGTCTCTGGACTCGGCCCTCTGTCTCTGCCTCTGGTGCTGGCTTCCATGGGCTCCTTAGTCTGTCTGGTCCCCTTGGCTGCTGACGCCCCCCCGTGCCCAGTCCAGTCTCCTCACTACATCCAATGTTATCTTTCTCCAAATAAAAATCTTATTCCTCGCCCATTTAAAACTCTTCAGTGACAGCAGGACAATTGAGTGGGGAGAGAAAGCTCTTTTCATAAATGATGCCAGAGCCACTAGATATCTACGTGAGGGAAGGTGGTCTTCAGTCACATCGCACACCCTGCATGGGCTTTAAAAGTTATTTAAGCATAAAATCCAGAAACAGAAAGCTTCTGGGAGAAAACGTAGATGCTCTGTGGCCCTGGGGGAGGCAGAGGCTTCTTGGGCAAGACAAATGCATTAACCGTAAAAGAAACGATTGACAGATTAGACTTCATCAAAATTTAAAATGTTTGCTTATCAAAAGGCAAGAGTGAGAGAATAAATATACAGACCCCAGCTAAGAAAAAAGAAGCTGCCGTATGTAAATCTGATTAAGGACTGAAATCCAGAATGCGTGAGGAGCCCCTGAAAATTAGTAAGGTGAGCAACCAGGTTTCAAAGCTGGAGAAAAGACTCGGACCCTTCAGAAGAGAAGGTATGTGAGCTGCCAGTGAACACATGGGAAGGGGCTCAGTGCCACCAGTCAGCAAAGAAATGCCACCCAAACTATAGTGAGCTGTTCCACCCACCAGAACAGCTAAAATCCGTTCAGAAGATGCCAAACACTGGTGGCGATGTGAAGTAACTGGACCCCTTGCGCATCTCCCACGTGAGAGCACTTCGGAGAGTTGCTCGGTAGCTTGTCGTGGAGTTAAATGCACGTGCGCTTGGTGATGTGCCTGGCCACGCCAGGCAGGCCCTCGGGAGAAGTTAAGCGTTCTGTCCACAGAGCCGCTCTTCGGGAACTCGTGGCAGCCTGATTTACAGTAGCCAAAAGCTGGTAACAACTCAACGTGTGCGTTAATAGATGGGCAAATAAACAAATTGCTGACTGTTCATGCAGTGGAATGCTACTAGTGATAAACAGGAATGAAAAAATGAGACAGGAACACGGGTGAATCTTTAGAACTTGATTTAGCAAAAGCTTACAGACCCATAGGGGCACGTAGCGTGTGGTTCCACCTTGGTCACATTCTGAAATAGGCAAGACTAACGCGTGGTGATTGAGGGCAGAAAGCTATCGCCTGGCAGTGAGGTGGGGCGGCCTGGCTGGTGAGGGGCGCGGGAGCCGGTGGAGTGGAGGGGCTGGGGCTGGTTCTAGGTGGCGAGCACGTGCAGGGTCTTTATAATGATCAGAACTCACTGAGCCGAGTGTTTAAAACTGGTCATTTTAATGTAAGTAAAGTATGCTTTAACACAAAGCAAAACACCTTCCATGGCTCTTAGAATCAAGACAGAGCTTCTACAGGGAACTGTGTTCCATGTCTTGTAATAACCTTTAATGGAAAAGAACATGAAAACAAATACGTGTAAGTACATGCATGACTGGAACATTGTGCTGCACACCTGGAGTTGACACAGTGTGATTGACTGTACTTCAATTTAAAAAAAAAAAGACAGAGCTTGGGCCATGAAGCCCCATGTGGTCCCTTCTGCTCCAGCTCCGTGGTGCTTTCAGCCCCTCATACACTGGGGTCCCCCTTCCCCAGAGCCTTGGCACATGCTGTCGCCTCTGCATGAATATTGTCCCCACTTCCTTTTTCTTTTCCTTTTTTTTGAAGCTTGGTTGATGTACAGGGTTGTGTGAGTTCTGGTGTGCAGCATAGGGATGCAGTTTTATGTGCATCTGCTCCTTTTTAGATTCTTTTCCATTACCGGTTATTACCAGGTATTGAATAGAGTTCCCTGTGCTGGACAAGCAGGTCCTTGTTTTTACTTCACTCCCTTTTTCTGTCTCACCTGCCCATCCTTCACATCTGAGTTCAGCTGTCCCTCCTCTAGCCAAGCTCCTCCCCGAATTCCCTGATGTGAGCCAACCCCGCTGCATGCTCTCTTGTCCTCGGGTGCCCCCTTGGGTATCGGCTGCATTGCGCACACTTAGTTACGTGTGTTTCAGTCCAGGTCCAGCTGATGCCCTAGTGTGGGCGTCAGGGCAGGGACCATAGCTGGTTCACCAGGGTGTTTGCCGAGCGCAGCACCGGGCTTGGCGCGGGGCAGACACCCAGGAGCAGCAGGACGGATGAGTGGTGACTCGTGGGCTCTGTTTGCAGGAAACGGTGACTATTACTGCAGTGGGAACGACCTGACCAACTTCACCGACATCCCCCCTGGAGGGCCGGAGGAGAAAGCCAGGACTAACGCCGTTCTGCTGAGGTAGGAGGGGCGTCCGCTTGTCCCGGGGGCTTATCCTTGTTCATCAGTATGGGAGGCAGCCGAGCAGAAGGGAAACAAACAGCCCCTCGCGTCAGCGCCGTCAGCCGTGACTTCGGACGAGCCTGTTTGTCCAGGCTGCTCCTGTCGATGGGTGGGCGTCCGCCTCGTCCCTGTAACTCCTGTCACCCCTTCTCCCTGCTGCTCCGCACAAGACTTGGTGGGAAAGCATCAAAGTAAACACGGTTCTCTGCTATTGAGGCACAGAAATTCAGCCAGTTTTCTCCCGGCCAGAGGAGGGCGTGACTCCCATGGCTGGGGGGAGAGGAGACTTGAAGTCCTCTCAGCAAACACAGAGGACACGAAGGCTTCTCTCTGACTCTCTGATCTGTCCCCGCCGAGCTGTGACATGCGGCACGTGCTCAGGCAGCCGGCCTCACCTCTGAGTCTGTAGTAGATGGGACTGATGGCGCAGACCGCGCTGCCCGCCACACACGGCCTGAAACAGGGTGCACCTGGGGGACTCTATGAGTGTCCCTCCAGTGCCACTAGGTGGGTCCCAGAGGGGTCTGGTGTGGGAGGCCAGGGAGGTGGCGAGACAGGGAGGCCCTACTGGGCGATGCGGAGGCCTGGCCTGGCCAGAAAAGGGTGTGATCTCAGACTCGCCCCGTGTCACCCATACTTGAGGAATGATCCTTAGAAATGTTTACACATACTTTTATCTTTCCGTGTCCGTAGGGAATTTGTAGACTATTTCATAGATTTTCCTAAGCCTCTGGTCGCAGTGGTCAACGGCCCAGCCGTAGGCATCTCCGTCACCATTCTCGGCCTGTTCGACCTTGTGTATGCATCAGACAGGGTGAGTCCGCTCCCAGAAGTTCAGGCGTTGCATGGGTAAGAATGAGATCCTCTGAATTCTCCTTCGCTGCTGCGAGCACAGGCTGATGACGGGTGGTTCGCGGTAGAGTGGACTGCAGTTACGTGTTTCCCATAGAATGAGTCTAATTCGATTCGTTTTATTTTCCTTTCACTATTAACCTGAGTTTTCCTAAACACCAGCATTGTGAGCGTCACCCCAGCGCCTTCATTCTGTATTCTATTCCTGTTACACAGCAGTTACTCCATTTTATTCCCAAATAGTCAGGAGACCTTGAAAGCTTGTTACCGGCGTGGGGCTGTGGACAGCAGCTTTGGAGGCTCTGCAGATGAGTTATTTGATCATTTTTTCCAACTAGATGAGTTCTGGAATTTAATTCTAGAATAAAAAAGGACTTTCAGGCATTATGTATTCTCACTCCCTCCTTTGCAGGTAAGCAAACCAAAGCTCAGAGAAGTTCCTTGCCTCCTGTTCACCATCGAATAAACTAGATTTTAATTTCTATTCATACTCCATGCACGAATACATGTCATAGCAAATACATGTCGTAGAAAATAAAATTTTGAAAAATATGGAAAAGTACAAAGAAAAGTGGGTCAATTGGAGAGTCACTCGTACCTCACCATTCAGACAAGCAGTGCTACCATTTGGGCAATTTATCTAATTTCACCAGTCCCTGACGCTGGCACACTAGGGTATTTCCAGCTTTTGTCACCGTAAACAAAGACGTGGCGAACATTTGTCTTGGAGCTCTCACCCTCGAACCTTTGCTGCAGGACTAAGAACCACCTCTCGGGGTTAACTGCACCTAGAGTGACTCTCACTTTTGCCTCGTAGAACTGGCTCACGTGAGCCGGGCGGGGAGCATGTGGTTTTTCCCCGCTGAAGAGGTCCCTGCTTTTGTTCGGAGGCATTCCCTCCACTAGTAGAACCGTATATTAGGGTCATTAACTTTTTCGGTTTGTCTCTTACTGGGTCCCATTCAGTCAGTTCGGCCGTGTTGTCAGATCTAACTCTTGTTACTAAATAACTTTTCCACAAAAGTAGCAAATGGGATTCTCGATGTGGGGCTACCTAACCTTTATAGGTGGAAGTTTCCCCTCAAAAGCAGAAATTAGAAGCCTTTGGTCACATTCTGTATGTTAACTGACCAGTGAAGTGAGCTGCTTTGAACCGGGGTGGGGTCGGGAGGTCCTGAGCTGAGCTGGGAGGCCTCAGTCTTAGTGCTTGGAGGCCAGATGCCATCACACTGGACTCTTATCCCGACTCTCCCACTGAATTCAAAAAGGGAGTCGTATACATTGTCTTTTTAAAGACTTCTAGGACTTCCATCTTATGATAGAATTTGAATTAAAATTGAGACGAGGAAGATATATATATACTTAAAATATATTTTTTTAAATGCTCAAAAGATTTGGCTCAAAGTAAAATATCTGACAATTAGTGACCACTGCTAAGAGTTCACACAACTGAATTAAACCAAAGGTCAATTTAAAATCAGGGAAAGACATAGAAGAAAGAAGCTGTGGAGAGGAATTGCTTTTATAGGATTTATCATTCCCGGCTTCATGAATAAATACTGTAGTAAATGAGGGTTAACATTTAACCCACGTGACGAAATTCTTCTTCACTGTGGGCAGTAATTAATCCTTATTAGCTTCTGTCACTAATTGGCACGTGTCCTCTTTGGGTCAGTAGAAAGGCGAAAATCATAAAAACAATAAATATTTGGGTGCGCGCTGTGTGGCAGGCAGTGAGTTGACGTGCACTGAACGTGTTCAGGGTGTGCCCGCGTTACTGCCCCATGAGACAGGCGCTCCCGCCCCTGTTCTGCACAGGGGGGCCTGTGGTCCAGGGAGGTCAAGGAACGCCAGGGCCACCAGGGAGCCTGACGCCAGTCTGACCCTTAATTACACCTGCTGCTCTGTTTCTGAAAATAAGCTGTTTATAATAATGTTTATACACAAGTTAAATGCTGCTCGTCAGCAGCTTGGTACACACCTGCTTCTGGCTCCTTACCAGGGATGGCTTTTTTTCTTTTTTTTTTTTCAGTTTTCTGTTTCTGTTCCTTAGGCTGAGACTTCGCAGTACATTTCCTCAAAGTTTTCTTTTAGGGGAAAAGTGACAATAGGTGACATTAATGACTGTTTACATTTCTATTATTTTACTGTATATGCTTCATACGTTATGTATGTACGTCTTCTAACAACATTCATGAAAAGTAACACCAGGTGTGGTGATGGGAAATGAAGTCTCGATATTCTGTTTACGGAACCGTCAGTTATAAGTTAACTTCCTTTTGTAAGAATTTTTCATTCATCAAGAAACAAAAAATATTTCTGAGATCTAGAAAAAAAGAAAATGACTATATTCTAAGTAAATATTAAAGTAGTTTCTGACATTTAAAGCTGATCAAAAAACCGGGGCAAAATTAAGACAAATGACAGATTGGGGAAGTAGTTTTCAACTCACATAATAGAGGCTAATCTGAGTTTTAAATATGTCTGTGACGTGATGGATCAACAACTTGATATAAAGTTGAGCAGTTCAGAGGAATGAGTAGCCCACAGAAAATAAAGCGTAAATGACTCTTAAATGCACATGAGAGAGACACCCTTAAGGAAAGGACTTGCAAACGGGATATACAAAGAACTCTTACAACTCAGTCATAAAGACAGCCAATCCAATTTTTTAAAAGTGGGCGAAGTATTGTAAGCTTCTTCACCAAAGAAGACGTGCAAATGGCTGGTAAGCGCATGAAAAGATGCTCCCATCCTTAGTGTGAGGGAAGTGCAGTTTAAAACCACAACGAGACACAACTGCACACCAACTGGTGGTTATAATTTAAAAGACTGGCAGGGAGGGTATAGCTCAGTGGTAGAGCACATGCTTAGCATACACAAGGTCCTGAGCTCCATCCCCAGTCCCTCCTGTAAAAATAGATAAATAAGTAAACATCACTACCACCACCACCCCCGCAAAAAAAATGTAAAAGACGTGATAAAAAGGTTTGGGGAGGACGTGGAGCAGTTGGAAGTAAGGCACTGCCGGCAGGACTGTTAAATGGTGCGCCTCCTTGGATGGTAGTTTGGCAACTTCTTATAAAGTTAATCCACACGTTTCCTGCACAGCCCAGCAATTCCACCCCTAGGTATTTACCCAAAAGAGTTGAAAACACATATTCATAATAACCTTATTCTTAATGTACAAAATACTAGAAATACCACAGAGGCTTCCACAGTGATGAATGGACACGCTGTGACACATTTGTGCAGTGGACTGCTGCTCAGAAAGAATGGGGAACAAACCCTGGCGCAACAACTTGGTGACTCAGGGCGGAAGCCCACAGAAGGGCGAAGGGCAACAGAATGTATGATTCCATGTATGGAACATTCTGGAAGAGGCAAAACCAGGAACAGAAAACAGTTGAGTGGTTGTTTAGGGGTTAAAAAGAACAGATTGACTGAACACAGCACAAGGGAACTTCGGGGGGATGGAAATAGTCTGTATCTTGGTGACGGTGGTGCGTATGTAACCGAATGCACCTGTTAAAACTCATCACACCTCGTACTGTAAGAGGGCGGATCTTGTGTGCACACAGGCAGACCTCGGGGTGTCGTGTCGCGGGCCCCGTCCCCGAACGCCGCGGCAAAGCCCGTCGTCGCGGTGAGGTGCGTCGTGGGAGTTTTGTGGTTTCCCAGTACATACGCCGTGATGTTTGCATCATGCTGCAGTCTGTTAAGTGTGCGATCGCGTCATGTCTAAGAAGACAACTAGACATTAAAGAACAGCTTTAATTAAAAATAATGCTGTTGGGAAAACGGCACTGATAGGCTTGCTTGACACAGGGTCGCTGCAAGCCTTCAGTTTGTGAAACGCGTGACGTCTGCGAAGCACAGTAAACCCAGGCCTGCCTGTGTGGTCATGCCACAGCAATAATTGTTTTTCCTGTTCTTCAATTAAGTGTTACAAGGATATAGACAAGTAGTGATTTTTTTGAAATGATGGATGAAGTGATTCTCTCCTCTTTTTTTCCTCCTGAAAGGCAACGTTTCACACCCCGTTCAGCCCCCTGGGCCTGAGTCCGGAAGGCTGCTCCTCCTACACCTTTCCGAAGATGATGGGCCCCAGCAAGGTAATCTTTTGGAAGCCTTACAAATGAATGATTATAAGTCACCTCTGTTCCAAAAGCAGCCCCCACACTCTGTTCTTCCCCTCAGTCGCGCAGACAGAAGAGATGGAATTACTTACTCACCGAATCAGTGTTTTAAACGTCGGGGAACCAGGCTTGGGAAATGTGGCAGGAGGGGAAATTAGAGACTCTGCAACTCTCAGACTGGGGTTTGCTCTCGGAGCTGGTTTGCCTGGTGCTCACAGCGTGTCCAGCCTGTCACCAGCCTGTCACACGGGGCGGGAAGTCCTCCCGAGTGGTGCTGTGGCCACTCAGGTCTGACCCCGCTGTTTTTTCTATTTTTTTTTTTAAATGGAGGTGCTGGGGGTAGAACCCAGGGCCTCGTGCTGTCTTAGCACGCGCTCTAGCACTGAGCTGTACCCTCCCCACCCCATCCCTGTTGTTACCGGGACCTACTGCCCCCCCTCTGTGTGTGTGACCCCAGGGGACCATGACAAGACCGAGAGCCAGGGCCCAGGGAAAGGTTTAGCAAACATTCTCCGAGACCCAAAAGAGGGGAGCGGGAGGTGCGCCTCTGTTCTCTATTAGGTTTTCATAGTAAATATATATATGTATTCGAATATATATGTAAATATAATGTATATGTGAATATATATATATGAAATCTGTTTATTCTGCCACATACCCTGAACTGTGACACTGATTTTAACTTTGAAAAGTTGGGCAGAACCAAGTCTAAGGCTTAGAGCATTTGGCTGTGAGACAGTCTTTGTTTCCGCGGAAGAGACGTGGCAGACGTGGAGAAGCATCGCCGCTTAGGGCCCCGTCCTGTCAGGCACTGAGCCTTGCTCTTCCTCGCTTTCCTTCAGTTAAGTAGGACCAAGGTGGGCAGCCGTGCAGGGAAGGCGGCTGTCAGAGCCAGGCCACCGTGAGTCTCCAGGGGAGGGAACTTGGACAGCTGGTGTTTCTGAAAGTTAGTTAGCATTGCCTGTGACCGTGATTTTTCTCTGTTTTTTCCCTTTTTAAGACAATTGTTTATAGTGTATAAAACAGAAGCTCACAGCCGCCCTGTGTTGTATAATCAGCATCTGATTCGGCGAGGCTCCTGCGGTCCCCCCCCCCCCAACCTCTGCAAACTTAGAAAGCCTCGAAGACAGTCTGCAGATCACTGCCTGTGGGGCATGGCTTCTCCCTTACGGAGAAGTACTGGCAACCTCAGAGACCAGGAGTGAATTTCCCCACAGACCTGGAGGCCTCATTTCCTTGCATTAACATCTCAGTCTTGCTTTTCCCCTCAGGCAGCAGAGATGCTCATTTTTGGGCGGAAGTTGACAGCTCAGGAAGCCTGTGCTCAAGGACTTGTTACCGAAGTCTTTCCTGACAGCACTTTGCAGAAAGAAGTTTGGACCAGGCTGAGGGCATACACTAAGCTCCCTCCAAACGTTAGTATTCGGTTGTTGTTTTTTTTTAACTTATGAGAGGCATGGAAATAATTTATCTGCCTTAGGATAGCAAGCAATTTAAAATCAAGACTGGGACGGGGTGGGGGTTGGGTATAGCTCAGGGGCAGAGCGCGTGCTCAGCACACACAAGGTCCCGGGTTCAATCCCCAGTCCCTCCATTAACAAACAAACCAAAAATTTAAAAATAAAATATAGGGACATCGAACAAATGTTTCAAAAATTCCTTTTAAAAATAAATGAAACCAAAATATATCCTGGTGGCTTTAAGCACGTCTACATTTCAGATTAAATGTGGCCGTAACAGTTGCTAGAAATACTGATTTTTATAAAACTTAGCGGAGAGGCCTTCCATTTCCGTGCTGTGAAAACAGAGGGGCAGCCCTTCCTGGGCTCCCCTTTGCGGAGGGGGATGGGCAGCACTTGCCGGCATGCCGGACAGGCCGGCTGGCGCTCTTACCAGGCAGCACTTCTGGTTTTGTATGTGAGAGCTGCTGACTGAGTCCCTCATGTTCTTACTGCTTGGAGTGGTCCTAGAACCAGAAGCTTTAATTTCTTTTTTTATTCGAGGGGGTGGTGGTTAGGTTTATTTATGTATTTAATGGGGGTACTGAGGACTGAACCCAGGACCTCGTGCATTCTCAGCACTCAGGCCACCACGGAGCTGCCCCCTCCCCCAGAAACTTCAATTTCTATGCGCAGCTTCTTAGAGATGTGTGCTGTGTCCCCCCCCCCCGTGGTGCGTGCATTGAGAGCTGAGAAGCCCCGTCTTGTGGGCACACGTTCTTCAGGTGTAACAGGATTAAATGAACAAGGGAGACAGGAATCAGGATGGCAGGATAACCCCACTCCTATGAGAGTTCCTCTTAGCCTTCTGGCTGCTTTTGGTTTTTCAGGCCGTGAGAACTTCCAGGGAGGTGATGAGAAGCAAGGGGAGGGAGCGGCTGCACGCCGTCAACGCCGAGGAGTGCGAGGCCCTGCGGCAGCGCTGGCTGTCCGAGGAGTGCGCCAGCGCTGTCCTGCGCTTCATGTCCAGGAAGGCGAAGCTCTGAGCGGCCGGAGGGGCTCCTGTCTCCGATTTCCTGTTCTGAACTAAGTGAGCCTCCCTGTGCCTTTTGGAGGTGCTAGGATGTAACTTGTGATGAGTGTACCCGCCTAGGGCCCTGCTGAATAAAGAACCATGTGAAGATGAACTTTAAGGATTTTCTTAGGCATTTTGGGTCGCAGGGAGCCTTACGTCTCTCCGCATGAACCCCTGTTGCCAGGAGCACTGAAGCATTGTGCCCGGGGCCCTGTTCTGGAAAGCGTTCACGGCCTGACAGGCCGAGACCATGTCCTCAAACACCACGACTGCACTCTGCCGTCCACATAGGGTCACCGACTTGATGGGCCCAAACACCACCAGCCTCCGGGTGACCGAGTCCAGGTCTTCGGTGGGCCCCATGTTCTTTTTCAGCCATCTGCAGGGCAGCAAGCCAAAGGGGTAGTGTTACTACAGAATAAATCATCTTAGTTTCATCTCTCTCCCCCACCCCAAACCATAATCTAATCAAAAGGCGCGAAGGGAGAACTGGCTCTTTCCGATGGGAAGTGATGTGTCCGCAATCACTTCCTCACTTACTGCGTAGTCTTCATTCTCACTGAACGTGGTGGTATTTGATAAAAGGCAGACCTGAAAGCTGCCCCATCTGTCCTCGCAACTTTCTGTTTTGATGGCTGCTGTATGCATCGCGTGACAGGGACAAGGGCCCTTCCAGTGGCTGCAGGACTGGCCCGGGATATTTTGCCCTTCTGTACAAACCCCTTCAAGCACCAGCATCCAGGTAGCTGACCCATCGAACCTGTAACTTCTTAGTTCTTATTTTTTTCAATTCCAGTAATCCTAGTCCACAGTGTTCAGTCTTAACAGAAAGTACGTTCATAGTGACATCCATTAATGTTTATTGAGCACTTCCTGTTCCTTTCTAGTGCTCAGTGTCCCTCATCACATTTTATTCTCAAAAAGCAGTGCCGGGGGAGGGTGTAGCTCAGTGGTAGAGCACGTGTCTAGCGTGCACGAGGTCCTGGGTTCCATCCCCAGTAACCCCACTAAAAATAATAATAATGAATAAACCTAACTACCTCCCCCGAGAAAAAAAATTTTTTAAGTGATCCTTTAAAAAAAAAGCCAGAAATTGAAAACAGAGTAGGTACTGTTGCTGCTCCCATTCTACGAGCAGGGACCCAGAAGTACGGAGGTGTAAGTAGCTTTCCCCACGTCAAGGGTCCCAGCCCCACTGAGGCCCTGGGAGCCAGCGGCCGCCCATCCCTCCTACTGCCTTCAGCGAATGGCTCTGGACAAAAGGAAAAGTGCCTGTTGGAAGATGCTGGAAGTAAACAGGCCAGGCAGATTGCGGTAGGGAGTCAGAATGTGGAGAAGCACCTGCACAGGAGCTTCTCAGGCCGTGGGCATTTAGGAAGGAGTCGCTGGGACCTCTCACGAGCATGTGACACTTCAAAGGTGACCCCCATGGGGAGCAGTGCAGTGGTGGCCGTGATCTCACTGGCAAAACAGAATTTGAGGCAAAGAAAAACATCTTCCTAGGAAGAGGGATACCCCAGAGCTGAGAAAGAATGAGGCATCCCCCTAGTTCTGTGTACAACCCCAAATGGTCTCAGGGTCACGAGTGGGACAGGCTCAAGGCAACATGCTAAAGGCTTTGAGAAGTAACAGACTTAACCGGACCCACAGGAGATCAAGACAGACCTTGTCGTCTGAACCTAAGAAAGCAGCATTCTCCAGATAATTTCAGCAGAACCCAGGGCCCCTGCAACCTAAGATGCACGGCATCCATGGAACAGTCCAAAGTGATCTGATGTACAAGAGATCAGGAGACTGTGGACACACACTCAGGCGAGAACAGACCACCCTTGTCAAGCCCGAGGTGACTGAGGTGTTGGAATTGTCACACAGAGACTTTAAAGTCATCCTTAGAACTGTCCTCCACGGAGGTAAAGAAAAGCACACTTGTAACAATTAAAACTGTATGAGTTCTCAGCAGAGAAAGAAACTACCAAAAAAAAAATTAGAACTGAAAGTCTGAAATCAAAAGACAATTCTCTGGAGGGACTCGCTAACAGTCTCTAGATGGTAAGGGGAGGAGCCAATGACACTGGAAGGTAAATCAGTAGGAATTAAACTGTGTGGCCTACAAAGAGAAGAAAACCCTGGGGAAAGATGAAGAAGCAGAGTGACGTCTGCAAGATGCTGACTAGGACGTTCCAGGCACCCCACCCCTCCCCCCAGAAACATCAGGTCAGCTAAGGCGACCAGACACGTACAGCGAACAAGTGAATGTCCAGTCAAGAAAAACATCACACTAAAAGTGATAGGGAACTTTGTGGCATTTTTACTCACTTTTGCCCCACTCACCCCTGCATGGTTAGAGGGAATTGGACTCATTCCCGCCTCCCTCCCTTGGGACGGAAGGAGCAGCAACTTGCTGGCCTGTCCGTGGGCTGCGGACCGGCTGGTTGCTGTCTTTCCTGACTCGAAGTTCCGGTGGGAAACATTGGCAAAGTTTGGATCTCAGGCTAGAAGCCCGCGAAGGCGGTGGCTGGCAGTGGGACACATGAAAAGTGCAAGCTGAATGCCGACCCCGGAGTGCACAGAGACTACATGCAGGGGAACACGACAGGACGTTCGAGGCCCAGAGAAGAAACCGGAGTGAGTGCCTCCCATCAGACAAGAAGAAGATACCACGGTTCTGATTCTTTTATGACATCTTCGCCTTCTTTGAAAATGGGTTTTTTAATCAAATTGTCATTTACACCACTGAGGACACCGGGGGGGGGGGAAGTAGACGAAAACATCACTTCATTTGGGCAGAGCTTCCCGTCCAGGCGAATGAGTGAGCTGGAGTTCTCTCCCAGGGTCTGTCACCTTCAAAGGAGAGAACACCGTCCAGATAGCAAATCGCACATTTCAACTGTCAGCCTGGCAACAGTGCTTTCTGAATACCTGCTATGTGCAAAGTGCAGACACTAGGAATATGAATGAACAGCAATACATTCGCAATACTAAAGAAACATAGAAACAGCGTCTGTCTGGCATAAGCAGGGGCGGAGTGAGCAGCAGAGATGATTTGCCCAGGAACCAGAGCTTTTAAGTTTGAGTGCCAGCATCCAACTAATTGCACATCCCCACTGTTACCACTGGTCCACGGCCCCGCATCCCTCTCCGGCTCCACACTCGCTCCCCTGGAGGCCAGGGAGCATTCACATCAGATCGCGCCACTCCTCTTTTTAAGACACTGCGATGGCCTCCCGCTTCTATCCGTGCCAAATCAGGTGGACCAGGTGTAAAGGCCAGGGCTCTACCGTTCACGTGGTTGTGCTCTTGGCCGCTGGTCCCGCAAGGGGTGGGCTGGTGCTTTCCGACACTCATGCAGCACAGAACCCCTGCAGCTCGGTGCTTGGGTCCCTCTCCAAGAATCCCACTCCAGCCCTGCCAGGTCTCTGCTCACTGACCTGGACCGGCCCATGGGGAGCCCACACACCCGCTCCTGCCTCCATGCGTTTCTCTCCCAGTGAGGGCTCCACCAGACACTGAGGGTGTGTGAAAATGGGGCTCGTGTGCTTTTATACCAAGCAATGCTTGTTTTCACACTCACCATGAATGTCAAAGGCCACATTAGGTCATTGTTGAGCTAAGCGTAAGGAGGTTTGTCGTCACCCTGTACCCCTCTGAATATGCCCTCGTGGGACCACAGTCAAACACCTACCTGACAACTATGGTTGACGTTGGAGGCTCGTTAATGTTTCTGCTCCACAAATGGCATTTCTTCCACCCCTGATTTGCACTGTTGTTGACTTGCCTTCTCCACAGGGGCATACTGCTTGGTTTGGGGGTCAGATTAATCTCTTTTGGAAATTGATGTCTTGCTAAGATTCTTTCTAAGCCAGAGAATTCAGAGTTCTCACCTGGTAAGAGGACAAGCATTAGTGCAATTCAAAGTTCCTTTCCATCTTTGCACAGCAAGCATAGCATGGGATCAGTTTGAGAAAGAACATTCATGCCACTTAATTGCGATTTAGCTCTGCCAGAAATATCACTGAGCAACATTTAGACCTTGGCCTGGTCCTAGACATCTAGCAGATGCACTGCAGTAAATGAGTGAACGAACAAGCAGATGTGCTGGTACCACTAGGGCTCCTGAAGGTTCCTTGTGTGATCTGTGCGTGATTCTCAAACGAATGGTCAGTAACTGTACAATTATTTTGAATCTTCAGTAATACTAACCATGCTCTGTTTTGACATCACGTCCGCTGCTTCACATTGACCTCAACTGGCCCCTAGCCAAACCGCTCATCTGCTGTGAGATAAAGAGCTTATGCCAGAATGTAAGAAAGGAAGGGATGGAGGGTGGGCGGGGAGGAAGGATGGAGGGAAGTAAGGAGGAGGGAGAGAGGGGAAGTCAGTTGAACTCCACAGGGTGTTTAGTGACGTGGCTGAGTCATCTTGTGATGTAAGCTGCTTATCTCTACCAACTTTTAACAACTTGAGAAAAAAGGCTGGTTTGCAGGCTGCGCTGTGAGCAACTCTGTAATCCGTTTGGGTGGGTAGAAGAGCGGAGCGCTGTCCCAAACCTAAGGCAGGAAGAGAAGCGAGCCGCAGACTCCGGGCGACCCTGCTTGAGATTAGGAGTTAGATCAGAGCTCGTCCAGCCCCCGTTCCTTCTCAGGCTGAAGGCCTGAAGGTCCCTCCCGGGCAGGGTAGCTGGCAGAGACCCCAAGGAACAAAGAATTGGCTCAGGGAAGCCTAGCTTGGCATTCTGACTGGAAGGTACATAATGACTTTATGATTAGATTGATCCCTGGGGGAGAGGGGAGGGATAACTTAGGAGTGTGGGGTTAGCAGATACAAACTACTACATATAAATAAATTACAAGCTCCTACTGTAGAGCGCAGGGACCTACACTGAGCAGCTTGTAGCAACCTATAAGGAAAAAGAATATGAGAAAGAATCTATTATGTATAACTGATCCGCTTTGCTGTACACCAGAGACTAACACGACATTGTAAATCAACTAAACTTCGATTTGAAAAGGAAAGTAAGATGAATGGATTGATCCTTAGAGACCCAAAAGCCCTCCACGTGAGTCAAGAGCAGGCCTGGAACACACGCCGTCTGGGCAGCCGTTTGTCAGCTCAGTGACCGCACGGCGCCCCCAGGAGCCTCACAGGCCCAGAAGCAGGTGGTTTGCTTTGATGTCAGGATCTCAAACCTGAGCGAACACTCGCCTGGCTTACGTGTCGGAAACGCTTGCCAGAGGTGTTGCCGTGTCCCTGAGCGTCTATGCGGGGAGGCTGAGAAAAAAACCCCAATCAACCTGTAACAGGAATGTCCCTGGGAAATCAAGCCCTGCTCCTCCAGCCTCACATAAACGCTCACTGCGCCCTCGACTGTAAAACTGCATTTCAATCACAAAAACACATGGAAAGGCTTACATTGGAGTCAATGAACTCAAACGACTTAAAGAAGGTGCACATAGTGTGAGAAGTTGATGAGCAGAAACCTGGGTGAAGCGGAGTGGGGAGACCAGCAGGGGGCGCTCTCACCCCAGGGCAGCCGAGCCCCGTGGAAGACTCAGCCCAGGAAAGACCCCGAGTTTACTATAGTTGTTATTCTTGCCCTCCCAACTCCCTTTCCCTCCATAATCGTGTTCTCCTCCCCTTGCCACGGGGAGACCTGCCCGGGGCCTGCTGTGGTTGAGACCCCAAATTGCCATTCTCTGCTGATCTGAATAAACCTGTCTCTGCTGGAGAGTATCTGGCCGTCTGTCTGTCTCAAGGCAGCAACGGTCAAAGGGGACGCTTTCCTTCCTCCAGCCTCGGCCTTTCCTCCAGAGGCAGGCACCGTCCTGAATTCGGTGTGTGTCTGTCCAGAACTCTCCCTGTTGCATTTAGAGACATATTTGTATCTACAAGTACACTGTCTTCTTTTGGCACAAATGGAATCATCGTTTCTTATCTTGCAGCTTGTTTGTTAAAACTCTGCAGTGTGTTTTGGAGATATTTTAATGTCAGCGTTCTCTTTAATAGTATTCCACGGTATGGATGTATCAGTTTATTTAGCCATTCTGCCACTGAACGATATTAGGCAGTTTTTAGTTTTCCGCCATTATAAAACAGTGATTCAAACACACACTCTTGTTCATGCCTCTGTGTGCGCAGGTGCCAGTCTCTCCAGGGTGCTAACTAGAAGTGGGGTTGCTAAGTTGAAGGACACGCATGTGTAAAGGAATGTTAAAACATGAACTGTCCTGTTGTCTCCAGTGGAAATGGAGGCATTGTCTTAGGATTTTGTCCTAAGGCCACAGAGTCTGAAAAAAATCCCAGTGGCACCAGATACCCATCTATGAACAATGTGCTTATCTATCTAGAAAAGACTAAACATTCTTTAAGGCACGTGAAGATTCTTTAGGCGGAGTACGATCGCATCTCCCCGCCTCCTGGCAGAGGGAGGTGCTTTAAGAGTTTGAGCTGAGCTGGGCTGTGGCCCCGACACCTGAGGTATCAGTTGCCATAACAGTAAACGTATTGTCTCACAGCTCTGGAGGCTCAAGTCCAAAGCCAGGGTGTCGTCAGGGTCGTGCTCCCTCTGAAACCTCTAGGAGGGGGTTCTTCCCTGCCTCTTCCTAGTTTCTCAAGTTTGCTGGGGATCCCCGGTGCTCTTCGGCTTACAGATGCCACGCTCTGCTTCTCCTGTCCCATGGCCATCTACTCCCTGCATCTCTGTCTTCTTGGAAGCACCAGTCCCATTGGATTAAGAACCCACCCTGCTCCAGTATGACCTCATCTTCACTTAATTACATCGGCACATCTGTAAGGACCCTATTTCCAAATAAGGCCACATCCAGGACACTGGGGGTTAGGACTTAGACATCTGCGGTGGGGGGGTGGGGGTGCAGTTCAGCCCCTAACACCTGGAAAAGTCTCATGGTAAGTGCCTGGGACTACAGCTGCCTGTGGCCACAGAGAAAAGGGGTCAGTGCTGGAAACCAGCTGCACCTTCGCCAGCTGGGTGAAGTCCAGAGGACAGGGTTCACATTTCCTCTGAGCTGTGAGTCCCCCCGAAAGGAGTCGGCTCTGGGTCATCTCGAGTAGGATCTCAAGAGGACTCTGAAAGGGTGAAGCAGCCGTGATTGAACAGGATGGAAGCATATCATACAGATGCCAGGGAGGGGGCGTCAGCAGGCGGCTGTGCCAGTGAGACCCCCACAGCCACAGAAGCCCCGAAAGAACCCACAGAAATGCCCCAGAGGGAAAAGATCAGCTTCTGAAAGCGGCCACCCCAGGAAAGCAGAGGACAGGGGACAGTGTGATATGTCACCAGTCAAGGAGCAGCTTTCCAGTTCCTCCCACCCTCACCCTTGTCAACCTAACAGGAGCCAGCAAGGGAGGGGACAGAGCAAGAAAAAGACACCTGCCCACGGCTAGCCCACTCCAGCTTCTGAGTCTAAATCAGGTTAGTGCGGTGGGGAGCAGAGAAGCTTGAGACTGGGTGGGGGGTTAGAGTTTGGATAGTAGAGTGGACTTTTTTTATCTGAATATGCCCAGGACAGCTATGAGATCTGCTTGTAATTGCACCCCAAGTTGATGAGCGAAGATCAGCAGAAGGGACCAAAGGGGGCAGTCATAGGAGAGAAGAAAACTGTGTTCTGCTTGCTTTTTACCAAGTTCAACTCATTCAACCCGCAAGCAGCATGTATTTTAAATTTTGACAGAGAGAGACTGCCAAACTATCCTCGAAAAAGCCTCCATCAAGTAGCAGGGGCTAGATTGTGAGGGTTTCACTTCCCCACGTTCATCACTATGGGTCTCACTCACTGTGACCACTATGACGGTCTGAAAATGTCTCCTTGACTTTCCCGGTGTGTGCTCGGTTACCAGCGTGCTGGGACATCGTTCACGCTCACTGATGGTTTGTATTTCATCTTGCGGATTGTCTGTCTGTAACACTGATCTCTTCTATTAGATTGCTTATATATTTTTTGATGATTCTTATGTAGTCTTTAGTGTAATCTGGATACTGGGATTGATTCGCAATACTTGGATTCAGGGATTAGGGGTTAACCAGAACACAAATGGCCAAACTTGCCATAATGTTTTAAAAATCACTACCCCCTACCCACTTACTACCCGGGACTTGTGTCTTAATTGCTGCGGCAGCTGCCATTTTGCTAAATTCCTGGGCACACGTGGCTGCCACCTCCCTCTGCCCTTCACTTAAGCATGAACAATTCAGGAGTCAGGCTCCAGCCAACCGTGCAAGTCGGTCCAGTTAGCCACCTCTGGAACTGAATCCAGGAGGGGCCACGCCAAACTGCAAACAGTGAAGGTGGCTTATGACCCTCTGGGGAATTAGCCAGCGTCTCTCTGGCTGGTGCGATCCTGGAGATAGCAGGAAGAAGCAGTAGGAACTAAAGCCAAAGAATAGACTTCAAGCCTGATCTTCAGCCTGGAAGTTCTCTCGCTGACCTTGAAAGTCAGACCTAAAGCTGAAATCGTAAATTGTCTGGCTTGCATCACTGAGTCCCCTGTCCATCTCCTCACAGGTGTGCTTTGCCTGAAGAAGAGTGGCTGGCCTATCTTGGTTCACAAAAGGCTAACTTGGACTAAAGGCCCAGGGGGAAGCGATGGTGACGTCAGGGCAGGTGCATAAACTCCCCGCCCACTCTGCGCACTTGGGCCCTACAGCATAATCAGAGTGGACGGGCCGTGGGTCCCAAGGACCAACCAGACCTGTGAGACAGGAGGGAAGGGGGCGGGGCACCGCCATTCAAAGATTGACATAACAAGTGGGGGAGGGTACAGCTCAGTGGTACAGCATGTGCTTAGCAAGCATGAGGTCCTGGGTTCGATTCCCCAGTAGCTCCATTAAATAAAAATAAATAAATAAACTTAATAACCTACCCCCCAAAAAAAGACACAGCCGTTAGCACCAAGATGTTGGAAGAGTCAGCTCCCAGTAGACCTTGAGCTTCAATACACGCCCACTAAAACACAGTACCTGCTGACCAGCCCTCCCATGGGTGCCAGGACAGCTCCCAGGCTGACCACAGAGGTCATAAAGTGGGTGAGGGCCCAGCTCCTGGGAATCCCCGTCCCTTCCCCGAAGTGGCTGGAATAACCCTCCCACTTGTTGGCATCTGAGGTTACCGAGCCTGTGAAAGCCACCAGCACCCACCCCCGTGGCCGCCCTCATTCTCCCTGGCCGCCCCTGTGCTCTGAGGCCGCCATGCCCCCTTCTGAGGAAGACGGCCCGCACTCTGCCTGTGGCGTGTGTATCTCCCAGGCCTTTCTTCCCTTCTGAGACGGCCCGCACTCTGTCCTCAGAGTGCGCCTCTCTCTGAATAAATCTACTCTCACTCAACCATGGCTTGCTCTTGAATTCTTTCCCGCGCGAAGCCAAGGACCCGAACTTGGTGGGGCGCGTCCCAGGGGCTCACCTGAGACCTGGGACACAACCATCCTCTCTTACCCTGTTTTTCCTGCATCACCTGCACCATAAGAATAAATTCTCACTCGTGACTAACGAAGGAGCCGTGGTACCACGATCAAGTGTAGGCTGACTGAAGAGTCCACCCCCAGCCCCCACCCACCCCCGCCGCTCACGTACACTTTTTCTTGTCCTCGTCACTCTTGTAGGAATGTAGCAGCTCCATCAGATGATTTGGAAGCAGCTTGTGGAGGTTAGACAGGCTCTCAAAGGTGTGGCGGAGGACCTCAGGATGGCCGTAGTCCTTTGGGGTCTTCGGTTTCTCAAGGAGTGGGAGTTTCAGTTCAATCTGGTTGTTCCTGGCTGTTCCCATGATGGCCCGTTAAGTGACAGAGAAGAGCAGACAGAGGATGGGGAGGGCAGAGTCCCCTGCAACTGCTCTCCTCCCAGGCTTGCCTTCGTCTCCAGGAAGGGACCATGGGTCCTGTTTTCTGGTCTCTGACTGCCTCACATTCTGAGGGTCACAATGGCCCAGATCTCAGCCTGGAACCCTGAGTGTTCATTCCACAGCTTCAAACTAGACGAACTCAGCCCTTCAAAAATATCCCACCGAGTCTCACAGGGACTTTAGGCAGAAGCCCAGGTTTCCTGTCTGGACATGGACAATATCTGAGGAAGACAGAATGCTTTCCTAAAGGAAGAGGGGTCCCCGGTGTGCACGCAGCAGTGTTATTTTCCCATCTGGCCCGCAGGGGAGGCCGTGCACCCTGTGTGTACGTAGCTAGGGCTCCACAGATCTACGAGGCCCTGAGGGAGCGAGGTTACATCAGCACAGCGAACTGAGGGAACAGCTTCCTCTTCTAAAACTGAGGAAATGTCCAGGCTAGCCCAGGTAAGACGCGCACCTGAGGCGTATTCTCTTAAACAAACTAGCACCCAGGAGACAAAAGCAAACAAAGAGAAATCCTCAGTTCTGGCTTTAGTGGAGGAGCCACTCTTCATTGTGGACCACAAACAGGACAGGAGAAGTTCTAGAGAATCTTAACCCTCCACACTTGACAGCACAGACCCAAGCAAGACGGAGCTGCCAAGAGCTACTCTCAGAACTGGGGCAAAGATGCAAACCGTGAGGCTTGTAGCCACTCCTGAATTTCAGCATGCACCTTCAACGGAGCCGAGCCCCCCATTAGGGCTCCCTCCCGTGAACGGGCTGGGCCATCACACTGCAGAATGGTGAGCATCAGGGAAAGTCACGTGAGCCAAGCATGCCATGGCAAAAGCTCGCAGTTCAGCAAACTTAAAAACCCTTCTCCAGGACTGTAAAGAGAAAAATCATAATGATATTATGATCCATCAGTGCCCAGCACAGGAGAGAAAACTCCATTTCTTAATGTCCCACTTGCAAACTTAAAAAGTAAAACTTTAAAAAATAAATAGAAAGCTATATTTTAAATAGAAATATATTTTAAGTATGGTGTAGGGACTAACCAGAACCATTTGGAATATAATGTGATTCTCATAATTTCACGGGTGTCTTTGGAGAGAGAAAGGAATTGGTGGAAGTGAGGGGCAGGCAGAATTATTCTGATAGCCAGAGGTGTTTTTCTTAGCAAGTTTGAGTGTATCACTCTAAATCCTCGTTTACATAAACAGGGAAGAACACACTATGGTTTAAACCATTCAACAGGCCAAGAAAGTGATCTATTAAAATTGGTTCTTTTCACTCCATGTAAATTGACCCATATGTTCTTTCGGGGAGGGGGTGGTGGTGGTGAGTAATTAGGTTTATTTATTTATTTAATTTTTTTTTAAATGGAGGTGCTGGGGATTGAACCCAGGACGTCGTACATGCTAAGCATGCATTCTACCACTGAGCTATATATACCCTCCCCCCAATCTATGTGTTCTTAATCTCATATTAGCGAGTGTAGGAATCTTTCTAGCAATCTGAAGTTTATTGACCATGGCTGAAATCAGGAGGCCACAATTACTACGTTTTATTTTTAAATAAACTATCTGGTGGATAAACGTTTTCTTTTTTTAACTGAAGTACAGTTGATTTACAATGTTGTGCTAGTTTCAGGCGTACAGCATAGTGATTCAATTATACATATATATACTCTTTTTCATACTCTTTATTATTGTAGGTTATTATACAATATTGAATATAGTTCCCTGCGCTAAACCGTAGGACCTTGTTTATCTATTTTGTATGGAATAGTTAGTGCCTGCAAATCCCAAACTCCGCCCCCCACCCCCCCAGCTTTCCCTCCTGGGAACAGATGAACTTATTTACAAAGCAGAAACAGACTCGCAGGCTTAGAGGACAAACCTACGCGGATGAGCGCCTTCTGCACTGGGTGTGTCTTCTTCAAGGAACCGAGCTCATTCATCTTCTCCGATCCTTGCGTGTTTGCACGGGGAGGTAACAGGCTTAGAGAGGAGGCGCCGCCGGAGCCCAGCTGCTAACCAGCTGTGCGGTCGTCACCGCAGCCACCCGGGTCTCCCCTGCGCCGCTGACGGTCTTTGGTGGGACGGATCCGCCCGCTGTACACCCTGCGTCCTCGGCCTCTTGTTTACAGTGCTATTCTTCAGGGACCGACAGAGTGACCTTTCAGACCCGCGTTTGTCCCAGAACGTTCTTTCTCGCAAGGGGAGACGAGCGGGAACCCTCCTCGCCGGCCCTGCCGCCTTCCCTGTGACGCCGCGCTGCCTGAAGGACCCGCCGCTCGGCGGAGGAGCCCCGAGCCGCCGACCAAGCCGACCCCGCAGCGC